GCCTTCTTTTTTTTTTCAGTAGAAGCAAGTTCAGGGCATTATTAGCTTGAGGGGAAAGGAATAACTGAGCAATGGTTGAGGTCGTTGGGATTCAGCCCTCCCACCCTGCTGTGTGATTAGCTCTGTCCAGCCTGGGGACAGGCTTGCGCAAGAAGCCTGGGAAGAAAGAAAGAAAGAACCCGTTAGGAAGTCTCAGCTTCTGAAGACATTTGATTTCCTTTTCCATGGCTATCTTAGTCACCTCCAATTCTGCCTTATTTTATAATCTGAGGATGGCAGGCGCATTGAAGATGTGATGGCATCACCAGGACATGATTGGAGGGAATTAACTTTGGCTCAGAAGAAAGGTCGTCAGACAAGGGCACAGGAGTTTATGTTCCTTAAACCCTGCAGCTCAGATAAATAGCTGCTGGTGAGTCACTTCTGACTAATGGTGACTCCATGGGTTGCAGAGGTGAAATGCCCCCCTGGGGATTTGGGAAAGTTGACTATTGAGTCATTCTACAGAGGTGCCACTGAGTGGACTTGAACCACCAACTTTTTGTTTAGTAGCTGGGGGCTTATGCATCTCTGCCACTTAAGAACACTTCATGGCTCGGATTCTTCTGAGAATGTCTTCGATGAGGAAGCATCTAGAACTACCCATAGCAAATGGAGAAAGTGAGTCCCCAGCGTGAAGTAAAGTAAGGTCTTCTGCCCACGTGCTTTGAAGGAGGATTTACACACTCCGAAGGTTTAGAAGCACTGGAAATGAACAGCAAAGCTGCTGGGGGAAGCCAAGTCCTGAGGCAGACTTGAATGATAATGGCTGGCAGTTCTTGTGACACGTGGTACCAGAGAGTACACGTGGTTCCTCACTGACTTACAAATGGGGTAGAGCCCTGGTGGCAAACTGGTTTGAGTGCTTGGCTGCTAACCACAAGGTCAGCAGTTCAAGCCCATCAGCCACTCCAGGGGACAGTGGTTTGCTTCCACACACAATACGGCCTTAGAAATCCGACAGGAGTTTTACAGCGTCTCTATGAGTTCTCAATCTCTTCACCATCCATCCTGACGCTGCCAATTGGTCCAGTGGTGAGAATCTTTGAGTCGCAAGCGACTTGATGGCACATAACAACAACAACAACAACTATGAGTTCTCATTGGCTCCAAGGCAGCATTTAATTTACACATGAGTGCTTCTGTCGTGATCCTGAGGTAAGGCCAGTACGTCTTCCTGCCTCTTTCTAAGGCAGAAGCTACTCAAGTGTAATGGAAAACTTAGTGTCGCACTTAAGCTATGCTGAACATTTGACATGAATTTCATTTAATCCTCCCAACAACACTGAATGTCATCTTTCTCATTGTAATGTTATTTATTAATGCTTTCCAGAACTTTCTCGCCAACTTTTTTTTTTCTCGCCAACTTTTTATCAGGAGAATTTTCATGCATAGAATGTACAACTGTTACAATGTCCATTTCTTTATATCTAATTACCCACCCTCAATCCTTAGGGATTTTTTGGTTTCAAAATGAGTTGTAGCCGTTGATGGGTGTCAGTCCTAAACACTTAAACCTGAGCTCATGAAATAGAAACCATTAGGTGTGTTATCTCTAATTTTCACAGGGGAAAATAAAACCGAGGCCTTCAATTCTGTGTCTTGGGGGCTGTGTACTAGACCCTTGGGCCTTCCCCATGAGTTAGTAAGCTGTATTTTTTTTAAAATAATGTGTAAGCTACCCGTGTTAAAAAACACTCAGACCAGGCTAATGAGAAATGAACTCTGTGGGAAGGAGGGGACACCCCCTGCTGAATTCCTGGGCCACGACTAATGGACCTGTGAGATGGACACTTAGCTCATTTCTCATTTTAAGAAATTTAGAAGTTGAGGTCACTGGCACATTTTGAACAGTTAACTCCTTCCTCTCGCCTCAAGAAGGGGAGTTTGATTAGCTAATTAGCCAAGTACTTCAGCAATGACATGGGCACTTAATGTCACTGAACATTTCCCCCCTTTTCTTCTCTTTCTGGGTGTGACTAAATGGCCTGCAGCATGCTGCGTGGTTGCTGGTAAGACAGGAAATGGGGTAAGTGAATTTGGGAGGGAATTTTCATTGCCATTTAAATACAAGCTACTTCATTCTTAAACCATGTTTGCTATTACTACTATCTGTCTCTCAGAGTGAGCTCACTAGCTACCAGAGACACTGGTGCAAAGAGAAAATTTGTATTCTGTCACATTTAGGACGTCAACCTCTTTTTTTAGTCTGTTTATTTGCATATCATATTTGAACTTCATTACATCAGATTCTTTTTTTTTGTAAAAAAATAGATTTAATGTGAATATAAACAAATTTTATATCCTTTAGATACATTAATGATATAGTTTAGGCAGTTATTATAAAAGTATTTATAAGTTATAAAATATTTAATATTACATATAATTTTAATATATAAAAATATTTATAAATTATTATAAAAGAACATTTCTTTTATATCAGTCTCAGAAATCTGGAAAAAATGAATGGTATTGTAAGAGATATAAAGTAAAATCGTACTTAAACTTAACAATAGTGGGTTTATAGTTTTCAGATGAAGCATAAGTAGATGGGGTCCGTGTGGTTGGAATTTACTTGATGGCAGTGATTTTTCCTCTGTTTTATTTTACATATTTAGTTACTTGGCAGATAAGTAGCCAAGATTTAAAAAAAGTCTGCCCATAATTCTTTATCTAGAAACTGTTAGAAGCCAGCTGTGGTTTAGAATCTAGAATTTTCCAGATTTTTAAAGTGTTATCAAGGATATATAACATACCTGTCCCCTCCAAAGTCTGGGATGGTACTATATACTCAAGCACTTTAACATTTCCATAATGCAACATGAATAGCCACACTATTTGATAAAGTTTATAAATAGCCATATGTATTCAGGACAGGATGTGGTTGCCAACTCAATGAAGGAGAGAGGAGGAGGAATACTAAATGTGTAGAGTTTTTTGGGTTTTGAAACAAAAATTCTGTTATCATTATAAAAAGGGCTTGATGATGGGGGGGACACAGACAGTAATCGTAGGGTCACACAGTTTGATGGGTGGAGCAAGGCGGGGGTGAATGAAATGGGAAAGATCTGGTGTGAACAACAATGTATATATGAACTTTGTAAATAAACCAGTATAAAGTAAAATTATTTTTTTTTTTAGGAAAAGGTGGTGTGATAGTGGGCATAGAACAATGGTGATTGGTATTTATAAAACACAATATATGACAATGATCTGTTTTTTTCTATATGAGACACAATGTAAATAAAGGAATATGTGAAACACAAGATATATGAATGAAGCAAAAGGTATACAAATTTTGTATGCAAACCAATATAAAATAAAAAATTATTTTAAAAAAACCCAAAAAATACCCACTAAGTAACTGTTTGTAATTACTCTAACATGGTTTTTATTTGAATAAAACAGTGATAGTTGTTGATTTGTTTTTTAAAAGAAAGCTTGATGGTTTCCAGAGGTACCTGTGTTACTTTAGGGAGAAATAGTTCTCAGAGGTGTGGGGACTTGATTGCTGCTAAACGCCGTGGAGTCAAGAATGACACGTAGCGACCCAGTGAGCTGTGAATCCCTGTCCTGTGTCATCCTCCTCACCTCTGACATGCTCCACACCCCCACCCCGACCCCGTTACAGTCACTGGGACAAATTCTCAATTGCTTGTGATTGGACCCCATGTTGTTTGAGAAATCCATTAGTGCAGGCACAGCGTGCTGTTTCTAAATGCTGTCAGTTGGCATTTTTGCTGTTCGTGCACTGTTTTCATTCCTTCTTGAGAGATTTTTAATTAAACTTACTTCACAAGGAGGTATTAGGGAAACAGAAAAAGACATTAATAGGATAGGAATCTTTTCTCTCAGTGTTTCTAGTTCACTCCAGGTCAAAGTTATGTGGAGGAATTGCTATTAAATATTCAAGTCAAGAAGATTGGAAAAAATTTAAAAAATGAGAGGTGGACAGTGACTAGGGATGATAGAAGGAGAATGGGTGCCTTTGAGCTGTAGTGCTGGAGAAGAGTATTGATTATACCATGGACTGCTAGGAGAACAAACAAATTCATTCTAGAGAGGGTGAGACCAGTCTGCTTCTTGGAGGCAAGGACTCTGAAGCTTCATCTGATACACTTTGGACATGTTGCAAGGAGGGACCAGTCCTTGAAGAGGGACGTCATGCTTGGGAGGGTGGAGGGACAGCGCAGGAGAGGAAGACCCTCGATGAGATGGATTGATTCAGTGACTGGGTAATGGGGTAAGTGTTTGGGAGACAGTAAGTCTGGCACAGGATAGATCAGGGTTTAGGGCTGTTGTACATAGGGTCGCTTTGAGTACCCCAAAACTCGATGGCATGTAACAACAATTGCTTTGGGCATTTTGGTTCATCTGCAAAGTCTTTCATTGGTGCTGGGTCTATGGCAAAACTGATTGCAGATGACATCCTCACAGTGATTAGAGAGAAATACTATTATGAGGCCTAAATGATGACTTCACTACCTTAAACCAAAGCCGTTGCCAGTTCCGACTCCTAGGGACCCATTGGGACAGGGCTGGATTGGCCACATTGGATTTCTAAGACTGTTCCCTTTAGGAAAGCTGCCTGCCATCTCTCTCCACCCCAGAGCTCCTGGTAGGTTCAGACTGCTGGTCGTATGGCCACCATCTCAGCTCTTAACCACCACACCCTGGAGCTCCAACGAGTGTTGTTGTTCATGTTGTCGAGTCAGATCTGATTCATAGCTGACCATCCAGCGGGCTTTCAGAGGCTGTAAATCACATGGGAAGAGAAAGTGATCTTTCTCCTGTGGAATAGCTGGTGGATTCGAACCACTTACCTCTGAGTTGGCAGTGCAACTCGGTACTCATTAAGCCATGAGCATTTGTCTTTTTTTTTTTCTATAATTATATTTTATTAATTTTCATAAACATTTACAGAGATTTTGGGCTTCCACTCATTCATTGTTGCACTATTCTCTCTACCCTCCTCCCAGTTTGTTCTTGTCCAAATGCCACAGTGCTTGTCAAAGCCAGTTCTGATTAATCTTCTTTGTCAGTGTATCCTTTGCCATTCCCTATCACTCCTCCCTGAGAGAGACTTCACTCTGAGTCATAAGGAAAAGGGGACGGCGTATTCTCTTAGCTACTTCCTGCTGAAAAGGGACGCTGTGGGTTTCAGGGTGAAGATCTTCTCTCACTACTCTAAAGGGCCCCTTTGGCAGTAGGAAACACATAGACTATTATGGAGATTGATTTTGGAATTCAGATGCACTCTTATTGATTGTGCTTGGCTGTACATGTACATATCCTTCAAGATGTATCATGGGGGTGTTGCACCCTAGAAGACACAAATTTGACTAACAAGTTATAAGTACATGAGTCTAAAAATTATGGAAAAGTAAAAGAAAAGATTCTTTCATTGTTTTACAAACACTCCCCCTCAAACACATGTGAAGAAAGAATCATCCTTGAAAACTTTACCTGAAGTTATTTTAGAAAAATTATCAGCCGCATTTCCATTTTCAGGGTTATTAATCTTCATCAGGCAAATTAAATATTACCTTTTTTTTTTTTTGCCTTTTATGTAACAGTGAGGTATCCAAGATGCCTGTTAACCCTTTCTTTTTTTTTTTCTTTTTTTTTTTAACCCTTTCTTTTAACTTCTTAATCTGGAAGGGAGTGCTGAAAAGTCAACCAAAACCCATCCCTAGTTGATGCTATTTAATTAGACTTTTCAACTGTGATACTGTTTGTGTGGAAATAGCATTAGTTAAATTATGGACACAATATTAAGATAGTCTTTTAACACCTCAAGTGTTTTGGATAGTCAGAAAATTTGGAACACTTTTTATAAAACTGCACACTTGATGTTTGGATAAATCCATGACTGCAGAGAAGTAATTTGATTATTTGTAAGATGTAGAATTTATCTAGATACCTCTTCATCGTTAAGGCAAAAATCCCAAACTTATGAAAGTGCTCTGCAGTATGTTTTTGTTCATTGCCGTCGAGTCGAGCACGACTCATAGTGACCCTATGAACAAAAAACCTGAAACGTTTCTATAACTATGATTTGTCAAAGTTCATAGAGTTTCCAGAAGCATATAATTTAGGAAGTGGATGCCACTCCTGCTTCCAACTCTGCGTTATATAACAAGTTATATTCTCAGCTTGTTACAGAGTGGGTAGACCAACTATATTTTAATTTGCTGTTTTAGAAGAACACAAATCTTTATATTTTTTTAAAGATCAGTTTGATTTATCCATTAATTAAATTGCTTCTTTTTCCTATCTGTTAGTCATATCTTTCCCTCTTGCAGAATGAGATTACAACATTTGTTGCTTCTAAGAGGTGGCAGAAATAGGTCATTAAAAAGGATGCTTCATATACTGACCTAAAGATCTCTTTTATTAGAAGGAGGGTTTGAACATATTTGAAATCGAAAGTGGGTTTAGTTGTTTGTTGGTGGTATTGTCTTGTTCACAGTGGAGAAGAGCAGTTTTAATAATACTATAACCACGTTTTCTCTTTCCTTTTCCCTCAGTTCCTCTCTGTCACCGATTTTATGTTATAAACTAAAGCTAGATCTCATCATGGGGACTTCCCCAAATCTATATATTGGCTCATGAGTAGATTTGGGGGAAATGTCAGGTTTTTATTGAGACATTTTTCTAATACTATACTGATGAGCATATCAGAATGTTGATACTTCAGGATTTAGTATGTCTGCTTCTGTAGTAAAGAGAAAAAAAAAGTATAGATTTTACATTGACTTCCCAAAAAGTAAGCCCCGTTTTCAGCAAGAGAGTAGACGTAAGTGTTTTCAGTCTGAACTTTAATGTAATACAATTTTGCAGTTTTCCAAACAACAGACCAGTTGTTGCTTATGCCTGACATCCCCGTCCACGTGTGTTAGAATGAAGCAGATAGAGTTTATTCTTGGGTGTCTCTGGGTGGATATGAACTTTTAGCCTTTAGGATAGTAGCTGAGCACTTTAACCATTAACACCAACCATTGCACAAACATTGCCACTCCAAACAATAAGCAGATCCCTCTGTTCCAGCTTTCAGGGTTTTCATACATAAATCCTGGAATCTGGTGGTTCTCACTTAGGAAAAAACCACATTATTTAGTATGCTTTGATAATTGAAAAAAATATATGTGACTTTTTAAACCAGTCATGCCTTGATTAATCTACTAGAATATGAGATTCATGAAGTCAGGACTTGTAGTTTATTCTTTTGTGTTCTCTCTTGATGTGTAAAAATAGTACCTGACACATGTTGGACATTCTATAAATATTTTGAAAATAATTGTCCTTAACTTTAATAATTAAGAAAAAATACAGGGTTGGGTTTTTTGGTGTGGTGTGTTTTTCCCCCCCATGACCATCATAAATCTTTATGTTATTTAGAAAGCAGAGCTTGTCGCTGGGCAGAAATGATATAATTCAACTCAAAGAAGCGTTCAAGTGGATAACTCACCCCCTGTTCTCAGAGGAGCTAGGTGTTCCCGTTGATGGAAAGGTATTGCTGGGTGAATCTTGATCATTGCATTGTCACACTTGGGGAAGCACAAGGAGTCATCTATAAATAATGCACAGAAGAATTGGAACACCTTTTCAATGTTGAACTCTTAACAGTCTTAAATTGAGGCTGATGCTTTTCTTTTTTCTTTTTTTTTCTTCTATCATATAAAAATATATATATATATATATTTTTTTTTTTCTTAATAAAAGTTTACAAAAACTTTGGATTTCCATTCATTTATTGTTACACACTTTCTTCCTTTTTTATTTTACTTTTTTTGAATCTTAAGACTCTTAGGAGTGTAGGGGGTGCAATTTATCCTAATTGACCTTCAGAGGTTAGAAATGAGTCTTTGTTTTCAGTGTATTTATCATTTCACTGGAAAGAGTTTTACTGAGACAGCTCGCTCTGCTGTGGAGTCACTTGTGACCCTCCGTTGAGTTTCAGAGGCTGCCCCCTCTTTGTGCCTGTGATTACCCATTGCTACCGACTACACCACCATAAGTGGCTGCATTAAGATAAAGCCATAGCTCTAATGATGGAGAGACAGTGGAGGGCTGTTCAGTTTGGCTTATCTGTGGCATATCTGGCTTTTCAGATTTGTAGACAGAACCTGAACAAGTGCGATGGGCACGAGCCCAAACCCCTCACAACCTTCTTAGCCTGTTTAGGCCCAGGTGTCTTCCAGGCAGAACTTGCTGGAATCAGGACACTTAGCCATCTCTCCTATTCCAGAATGGACCCTACCTCATTCTCTGGAATGCTTTCAGTTCCAGGGAGGAGCACAGCAGGTTTTCAGATGTGGAAACAGCTCACCCTAAATGAAATCTTTGGAGTACATCACCTTGCCTCATCTTTTTGTTTGAAGGAAATTCCCTGAATAGTAGACACACCCCTGAATATTGGACACACCCCACTTCACGTGAAATTACTACATCATCTTCTACAATTAAAAGAATGGGGCTTTTTTCACCTCCTCTCTCAAAGCCATCCTGTATTCTATAACGCCGTTTCCCTTTGGTGTTGAGAATGAGCTCCAACTGTCCTTTAAACCGACTACTGAGAGGATAGAGGAGAAGAAGATCACTTCACAGCCAGTGTGAAGAGGAAACGAGGTAATGAAAGTGCTTTGGAAATTAGAGAAATCATTGATGCAAAATATTTTTACCTCGAATTTCAGTTTTGAAGCACAAATAATTTTACACATTGAACTAGTGAGAACAGAAAATAGAAAACAAAAGATGCAAAAATGTTCTAATTAACCCAGGTTGGATGCAGTTTTGAGTAAAAGGAACATGGTGTTCATTTTCAGTTTTATTTTGTAGATTAAAATAGAAAGCAGAAAAAGTAACTATCTCCTGTGATCGTCACATATAAATAATAAGGCTTGCTGATCATTTATTCTATACCATAAACACAGAATTCAGTAACTACAGAATTCAATTAAAAAAAACAACAACTACCGTATAGGTGTGAAACTTCAGCCTTTTCCTTCATACGGAATTTTAAACATTCTAAATGTAGACAGGTGCATGCAAAATATGAAAACCATGCTTTTTAAGTGCACAGGGATATTCATTATAGCTGTTTCCCCCCTCAACAATAGAAGAACATTCCACAACGTAAATGTTCTGCAGTCTTGAGAGTTGAAAAGGTGTCAGTGATAAATATTACCTGAATAGGGCAAAAGAATCCATAATATCCCAAGTTATACATTGTCATTGTTAAGAATAGCTAGAAGATAGCGCATCAAACTGTTAATAACCCCACCCACCTGAACAGAGTGGGATTGGAAAAAAACTATGTTGGAATATTTTATAGTCCGCGTGTAACACTTTTGTACAAATAATTATATCTCTTTTAAATGCAAGTCTATTAAGCAGCTTTAGCATTTTTAAAGAGAACGTCCCAAAAGGCTTTTAAGGATGTGAATAAATTGTTTCATGCATTGGTAATCGTTATAATCATAATAAGAAGCAAGTCTTATTTATTAAGAAATAATTCTCTTTTTTAGTTAGTATTTTCTTCCTGGTCCCCAAATGCTCATTCATCTTCACAATTAATTATTCTACATGTGAAAAAAAACAACAAAACAAAACACAAACCAACCAACCAACCAAACATGCAAAACCAACCAAACATGCAAAACTTGGCCTTTTAGAATTGATTGAAATATTTCTTGGTTGAATATGTAGTGACTGAATTTTAGAAGTCTTTAAGAAAAAAAAATATTTTTCCCAGCAATTCCACTTACTGGGAATATACCCCAAAAAGACCATAGCTGACATCCAAGCAGATATACGCACACCCATGTTTATTGTGGCTTTGTTCACAATAGCAAGGAGCTGGAAACAACCTAAGTGCCTATCAACAAACGAATGGATAGAGAAGCTGTGGTATATTCACACAATGGAACACTACACTGCATTGAAAAACAAAGAACTCATGCAAAATTATTCAAAATGGGTGACCCTGGAGGACATTATGCTGAGTGAAGTATCTCAGTCACAAAAGGACAAATACTGCATGGTGCCACTGTTGTAAAACGGGACTGACATTGGATTTGGGGGGAGACTGAGAAAGATGGAATAAATAATGTATACTTCATTGAAACAGATGAGGGAGAAAACTGTTTAAAAGGGATATGTGATTAGGTATTTTTGTTATGACAGGAGCCCAGAGGGAAGGCTGCATAGTGGAGTGGAACTGGGGGGAGGGATTGTAAAACAATGAAAGAATTTTTTGTTTACTTTTACAAGAAGTAGTGTACTAGCGGGGAGGGTTGGGAGGGGAGAAAAGTGCAACAATGAATGAATGGAAATCAAAAGTCTCTGTAAATTTTCTTTGAAATTAATAATAAAAAATAAATTTCTCAGAAGGTCTCTGTATAGTTGACTTGAGAATTTGAAGGCAGTAGTAATTCTCATTTTCCTTGTCATTCATTCTTCTGAGCTAGTCTTTGAGGGTGAATTTCTGTCCCATTCACAAATTGCTCATTGTCGGTTTCCTTTTGCTCATTTGTAAACTGTCTTTATAATTTTTAGAGCTTCTTTGAAGTGAGTGTGGTCTTTGCTCACCCAGAAACAGTTGAGGATTGCCACTTCCTGTAAGTTGCCTGGTAAACAATGTCAATTTTGTAATGTTTTTAATGCTCTTTGGTTTTCATGGAAATAGTATTGTGTTCCTTCTTAATGAGCAGGCTAGGACTTGCCATGTCCTGTTGTTGTTATGTTATTGTTGTTGTTGTGTACCGTCCAGTTGGAACTGATCCATAGGTGATCTTCCAGCGGGTTTTCTGAGGCAGTTAATCATATGGGAGGGGATTGCCTATCTTTCTCCTGCAGAGCGGCTGGTGGCCTAGAACCATATTCCTTCGAGATTGTAGCACAGCTTCTTGCCACTAGGCTACCAGAGCTCCCTTGTCATGTCCTAGTAGATTTAAAATGTGTCTTCTAGAACAATGATCTAGATTGATCAGTGTCTTTCAGGGGGATTTATTCTCTCTCCACAAGACTCAGTCTTTAGCAGTCATGTTGTATAAAGTAGGTGTGAATCATATTTTCCCCTAAATAAATTTATTAACTTTCAACATCAACTTTTTATTTTATTATAGAGGTGAAGTATGCCCAGATTGCTTTAAGCCAGCTAAAAATAAGCAGGTAAGACTTTTACTTCTTTTTCTTGTGAGTTGTATCTGAGCTGAATATTCAAATTAACGATATGACAAAGGATGTGTTTTAGAGATGTGACAACTCTGTTATAACCAGACTCAGGTCTTTAAAATATTTCCATTTACTACGTTTATTTTTATTTCATTCAGTTCTCAACACCTTTGCCTCTGACGAGGCACTTGAAGCTCACAAACATCCTCCCCTAAAGTTGTTATTTTTAGAACAAGCGTTTCAGTGTTTCCCATTCGGGGAAATTCACCTTTTAGATTTTAATCCCAAAATGACATCATCTGGGAAAATCCTTGGTAAATACCATCAGCATTCCAGAAGCTTGGCTAATACCTATCTTTCCCTGAAATTTGTGTTTCAAAAATAAAACTCAAAGTAAGTGATTTTTCTTAGGATGATGATCTTGTTTGCCCCAAGTTGGAAATGACCCATCGCTGAGTTTCCAGTGGATTTTCAGAGGCAATAAATCGCACAGGACGAGATTGCCCACCCTTCTCCTGTAGCAGCTGGTAGATTCACTGCCTGGCTGTGGGATTGCAGCACAGCTTCTTACCACAAGGCCTCCAAAGTTGTTCCCTATCACATATAATTCACCAGTTCTTAGGATAATGGTGAATAAGCATAATCCGTAGTAGTCGAACCCTTATTCATGCAGTGATTAGAGCTCTGCTAACTGGAAGGTTGGCGTTTTGAATCCACTCAGTGCCTCTGAGGGAGCAAAGAATGAGGGGCTGAACTGCCAAAGATTTAAAACAAAACCCAAAGCCAAACCGCAGCGAGTGTACTGCTGTTGAGTCAGCTCTGACTTAGGGTGACCCTCTGTTGGGTTTCTGAGGCTGTACATCTATGGGAAGAGATTACACATCTTTCTCTTGAAGATATGAACTGCCGACCTTTTCATTAGCAGGCCGGTGTGTTGTGCACACTACCACCAGGGCTCCTTGAAAACCTTAGGAGATAGTTCCACTCTGTCGCATTGACGTCAGCCAACAACACCTAACAGCAATGTTTCAGGCGACATTTGCCAAAAGCGAGGTTAACTCATGGTTTTCACATTAACGAGCTGGTTAGCTGGGGTGCACTCTTAGTTAACGTGGCGCCCGGCGCTATACTGACAAACTTTCACATTCCAATTCCATAGCTTCTTTAGTGCAGACTCAGACACTGCTACCTGCTTCTTTACAGACATCATTTTATTGTTGGCTTGTTAAAAAATAATATACATTTGTTGTTTATAAAAGTATCTGTTGGGGTTTTCCCCCCTTCCATTTGACTATTTGCTGGACTATACAAAACTGGGGGAAAATTCCTTTATTATAATAGTTACCAAATGCCCTCTGTAGGAGCAATTAGACATGAACTTTGTACATAAACCAGTATAGAACTTAAATATTTAAAAAAAAAAAAAAAGACAGCCAGTCCGAAGCAGTTTGCCTTTCCTCACACCGTGGCCCATCTAGAACATGACCTGTTTGATCAGGTACTTGCAGTAAATACCTGATAGCTGCTCCAGGTTGGAGGTGCCCAGGTTCCTGCTCAGAAGTCCCTATGCTGTCACTGCTGATTCCACGCTGCCACACACCTTGGCTCCTTGGGATGTGCTGCCCAAAGGATCTAGAAATGACCCTTCTTTATTTATATTGACTGTCTGATTGTATTTTTGCTACCTTTGAGGAACTATATGAGTTACAGCATCAGATAGTGGGATAAGGAACTTTTCACCAAAGTGTCATTGATCTGAGGCCTTTTAGCCAATGGGAGTTTTAGGGACTTAAATGTCATTTTTTGGCTTCATGGCTTAAAGTGAGTTGAATGACATTTTGAGATTCTCTCAGGCTTAAATTTTCACGTCTTATCAAACAGGTAGTCAGTTCTGCCCTTAAAATACCTTTTAGAATTCTGAATCCCTCAGAGAATGGTTCAGAAAATCATTACCCCCGCTGGTTATAAACTATTGAGAGGCCTCAGGTGAGCTCCTCTGCTATCAAATGGATTTTCTCATAATGAAATAAATCATTGTGATGTATCATGGTACCAAATGTCTGTGTTCTACATATGCCCTAATTAGGGTCAGTGTGTGTACCATGTAGTTTGGCTTTGCTTGTCCTCAAACACCTAAACAAGGACATTTGTTGTGATGCCCTTCTGTTCACTTAGTGGGTTTGCTGGGGCTTTGTGTGGCTCTGAGTAATGACCAGAGGTTGAGTCCCAGGGCCGCTGGTCCACCCTGTTATATCCTGGCATTCAATTTCTAAATTATAGACTGTGACTGTAGAAGAGATACAGGGAATAAAGGTGACTGGATCAATCCAATGCCTTTAGAGACTCAAAAATTGTTTCCTGCAATGTCATCCATTTTGTACTGGTGTCTCACATTTTTAAAAGAGTGAGCAGGACAGTGAAGGTGACCTGTGCTCTAGATCGATCTGGTATTTTTAAAAAATTGTTTTTCATTTAATCATTGCAAAAAGAGCAGTTACAATATGGGGTGGCCGAGTCTGACTTCTGCCCACTTCATAAGGGGACGTTTTCCCCATCAATAATATCCATGTAAAAAAAAATATCCATAGCAGCAAACAGATAGCTGCTCGATCAGACAAACACACCCCCTCATGCCTCCTGCACCTATTTCCACCGGTCACTTGATTTGATATTTGTTGTTGACTCACAGACTTTACTCACAATTGTTGCACCACAAGTGGGTGTATTAGGAAATGGGTTGGAGAGTGAGAGAGGAAAAGAATATCTCACAATACAAGTTCAGGTTTAGTCCAGCAATCCCAAGCCATAGTAACAGTAAAACATAATTCCTTAATTAGTAAAAGTTCTGGTTTCAGTTCAATAATACAAATTCAAGAAGTCTCTAGGTTTGCCTTAGAGCGGTTATAAGTCAGCTTCTCCTCAAGCATCCAGCAAGAACAGTAAGACCTCTCTAACTGTTCTTATCGCAGGGCTCCTCTGGTTACACCTTGCCACAGTTTCTCCACAGCAGTGCCACAGTCTCTTCCCCATAATCGGAGTCTAGCTTTCACTAGGGTCTTGTTCCAGTCTCCCTCAAGTCTTGCTGCTCGGGGTAGGAATCTCTCTCAACCTCAATCTCTCTCTCTCTCTCTGGGTCTCTCTGTCTCTCTGGGTCTCTCTCTCGTCCTAGTCCCACAGCTTCTGATGATTTGCAAGGCCATGTGTTTGCAGTTAAGGTAGCTGGAGACCAGCAAGGGCTAATGCAATGGCTAGAATAACCAACTTTTAAACTAACACCACAATCATTCATATACATTTTGTTTTACAGTATTAATTTCAGTTGATCTGGTGCCTTTTATCACAACATCTCATCAAATCTTCACTGTTCCCTGCCTTGCCCCTTCAACCCACCTGTCAATCCACCAATCTCTTTTGCCCTACTATTTTTCACTCCAGCTTCTTCCTACTCTACTCATTTCTCCCCTTCCCTTCCACCTCCGCAGCTGAACAGTTACACATGCCCTGTTCCAGGTTTCTAATTGCAATACCCATATTGTGCATTTGTTCATTCTTTCCTACCTGGTAATTTGGATATACACTTGCGTTATGTGTCTGACTATCAATCAAAAGGCCAATAATTGAAATTTGATGACCTACCAGCTACTACACAGGAGGCAGGTGAGCGTTCTCCTCCCATAAAGACACACAGCTTTGGAAATCCGGGAGAGAGAGTGAGAGTCGCGGGAGACAGAGGTGAGGTTGGCTGAAGAGAAGGTTTTTGAAGCATACCTGTTACATAAAGACAGCTGTGAATGATATGTCTGTTTCTTTTTGTGACACTGTTAGGTATGTAAAATAGTAAAAATTCTCCAGGGATGTTATCTGTTCCACCTCTGCTGTTGTTTTCTTGTCTAGGTAATGCCTTGTCTTTTCTTTGTGCCCTATACAGTCAGTGTTCACCAGAATGGCAGTTCTGAAAGCTCTGAATAAGATAAAAGAAGAGGATTTCCGCAAGTAAGAACTGAAGACGTTTTAGGGTTGGAATTTGAGAATAAAAGGAATGTTTAAGACAAGACTGGATGTATTTCAGGGACTAGGATTTTTGCCTTAGTCATCCTTTTTCCACATTCCCTGGCACAGAGCCTGCCATGTCATGACACTCAGTAAATATTTCTTAAATAGTGTTTGAATCTATGAATGATCCAACTTCCTTATATAATCTTGTAGAAGAAGGTCTTGCGCTCCAAAAAGGGCATTAACTTGCCCAAGATTTTGAGCAGATGTAGAGCATGAACTTAGAACCAGGCTCTCGCCCGTCAGCCCAGGTATTGGTCCCATCATGTTGCTCAACACATTTTTCCTAGACTCTCCCATCCCCCACGGAGGAAAGGCCAGCCTGGATTGTACAGCTGAGCTGGACCAGGCAGAGTTCCAGTCCATCCTCTGTAGGACTGCTGGGAGTGGGCGCCAGGTCGATGTCACCTGACAACCACCACCACAGAGGGAGAAAAGGCACTGAAGTCCTCACTTGTTAGAATGTGTTGCAATACAACAAGTCTTATATTCTGAGTCTTGGCGCACTCATTTTTTTTTAAAGAAAATATCTTCCTAGTTGTTCGTTCAGAATATCCTTGAGTTAAGTGTCCAATAATGACATTATCAGAAAGACTTCATGTGTTTTTCTGACCAAGAGGATTCTGTGACTGGGGCCTGAATGTAACACGATGACCGGCTGAGGGAGGGTGGGTGGTGTACGTCCACCCAGGGGCTCCTTGGACGGAAGGCCGAGTACTCTGCTTCTGAAGAATGGCTCATTGAAAGCTCATTTCTGTTCTACTTCCCTGGGTTCACATGAGTCAGAACCTCCCATGTTTGCTTTTGTGTTGTTTGGTTTTTTTTTTCTTTTAAAACTGGTACTGACTGAAAACAGGTATCATAATAGAAATCTTTTTAATGAAATGTCAGCAAGTGAGGATGATTACCCTGTACAAACAGTAGAGTTGAGTCTCCAAATGATTTCTCTGTTTAAGACGTCTCGTGAAACGACATGAAATTGTTAGAAGATGCACATCCGAGGTGAAGGAGGCTCTAGACCAGCTGGTTAGCGGCTCCCCGAGTTCCCGGATGGGGACCAGAAAGGAAGCCCTGCACTTTACTACCCATCCACATTTGGACTGGAGCTTCTTAAAAAGCAGAGCTTGCCTGTGTTCTCCTGTTTCTAATGCTGTGCTCTGATTCCCAAGGCCATGGTGTGGGAGAAAGGGGGATAAAAAAATGGCATAGTGCCTTCTCCACAGATGGGACTTACCCACGTGGCCGGACCCTCTGCACACCAGCTAGAACCGGATGACAGACGATCCTGTCAGCAAGCAGCAGATGTCTCTGGAGAACAGGACGTCTAAAGCCCAGACAGGCTCCCACTCCAAGTATACGTTGTTGGATTTTGCCCCCTACACATCTCGAGGCTGTTGAAATGATTACCTGGGGAGAGGAAGGGTAGGAGCAGAGCCCTGATTTACTGACGTGGTGTCACTGACATGAAAACAAATGCTGCTCCAGAGACTGGAAGGGCCTTTATTGCTTCAAACCTTGAGACTCACTCAGGAGAGCTCAGAGCTGGACAGACTCGGGCACCACGTGTGTCGCAGACAATGCCGATTCGTCTCGCTTCCATGATTGAATATCGGGATATCAGGCTCAGTCAAATGTGTTTTGTTTTACAGGCAGTTCCCTTGCCCTCCACTCTCGCCAAAGGCCGCGTGCACCGTTCTCGAGATTGAATGTGCTCACGGGGCCGTTTTTGTGGCTGGTAAGTATCTAGACTCTCCACTTGCTTCGTCACCTTCCTCCTCTTTCTGAACAACCCAGCCAGCTCCTCCTGCTCCTGCTGCATCCCATTCTGGCCGTTGGTATTCCCTTCGGATTAGTTACTCGTGGGCAGCAGAGCTGAGCGGTAAAGCTCACCTCAGGCTCCGTCCACAAGCTTACCTCGGGGGGACCTGTTACCTGACACGCCAAAGGGAAATGATGACGCTTCCCAAGTTTTGTTAACTTCCAGCCGGGATGGCCCCGTGGAAATAGGGGTCGGTGCGGAACGCAGGGACTGGTCAGGAGAAAGACAGCAGACAGGAGGTGTTTGCTAACCTGAGAGTCAGTTTGAAATAAAGAATTTAATTCTCTCCAAAATGACTAAATACTTTTAGCTTCGACCAGACAAAGCCCCTCAAAAAAAAACCACCAAAACGAAAAAACCCAAACTGCACTGGCTTTCCCAGGAGGTGACCTAGCAGACAACTTTTGTTTTGAAAGTTGTCAGTGTTTCATAAGCAGAGCTGAAATGAAATTGCCCCTTGGCCTTAATTATCACTCCCCAGTGCCTGGGCACTGGGAGCTTCCCTGACTTAGTTTTATTCTAAAGCCATGAGTCATATTCTGGTAGCAAGTTTTTCTGAGTTTGTGTGTATGTGTGCTTTTTTTAAATTACTAAAACTTAAAAAATTTCCTGTATTGGAACTTTTTTGGCCTACATTATCACCAAAGATTATTACATTGAAAGTAGTATTATTTCGGTGTAAAAGCACTTGTTGCACTTTGTTTTTTTTAAAAAAATAAATCTTTGTTTTCTTCTGTAACATTGAAACGTCTCCACGCAGCGGTTCAGATGAGTGAATGAATACATTACTTTAGAGCCTCATTTGATGCACTGTGCCTGTCCTGTCTGACTGTCTCTGCTCTTGTTACCTGTAGGTCTGTTTCTTTAATGACCTACCTGTCTGTGTCTTGTCTCCCCAAGTTAGAGTGTGAGCAAGTTGAGAGTTGAGTTTGTCTTTGTTTCACGCAGTAACACCTACAAGTTGTGCATTCAGTGAGTAACTGACTGATGCTTTGCTTTGCATCCCATTGTATCCCATTGTGTTCCTCACACCATACCATCTCTTTGTCAGGGAGATACAACAAATACTCCAGGACCCTACCCCAAACTCCATGGATAATCGATGGTGAAAGGAAGTTGGAGTCTTCAGTGGAAGAATTAATTTCAGATCATTTGCTGACAGTGTTCAAAGCAGAGAGTAAGTATTAGAATGTTGGCGGTTATCAATGCACCGTCACTCGCGAAGAGATTTTGTGGAGATGGCTCAAAGCGTCTGTCTATTTGGTGAGTCACCCCCGAGCCGAGCCTTTTGGCTGGCAGCTTCCCACATCCTGTGTCATATCATGGGCTTCCCTGGGGCTCAGGGATTTCTTTCCTCTTACAAATCTTCTTACTGTTCTCTCCTGAGGAAACTGTAGACAATTGAAACTGCCTTCAATGAATGCACTTCACCCTGAAGCTTGGGACACCTCAGCCTGTGCCTCTGTATTTGAGAACATGAGGAAGTTAAAACAAGAATATCTGGCTCAAGAATAATCAGTGGCTGTCTTCTAGTTCCTGTCTTCCCTCAGTGTCTTGGGATAAAGTTGAGGTCTAGAGACAATCAACCAGCTGCAGCCAGTTCACAAGGACTTGGTGGAAGCTGTGCTCTTTTCACAGTGTGGGTCTCACTGAGCTGTGTTACTGGGGTGATTCAGATCCTGCCTCAACAGGCCTGTCAGGTCCAAGGCAGCATAAAGCCTTTTGATTTCACCCCGCTTCAGACAAGAGGAAAGAGACTAAGATCTCAGTCCCAGGAAATCATCTCACATCAGGAGGAACTGCAGGCAGAGAGAGGCCACGTTATAGAATGAATTTCCTAGTAGAATGAAAAGGCTTTTCTTTTTAAGGAACCAGTTCCGACCTTTTCTCTGAAAAATCATTAGAGGAACCTTCTCTGGGAAGGGCACGCAGATGGCTTCACTGAGCTGTGGCTGCCCGTCCAGCTCCCTGGCTGGCCAGGAGGAAATGGAAGCACTTGAGACCACATCTCCCTTATAGAAGTGGGTTCACTCTCAGATAGGTGGGTCCTACCCCTTTAAGGAATTTGATTGTTATTCTTGAAATTATACACAGACACAGCCATTTCTCCAGGCACAATTCTGTGACCTCGGTCACGTTCTTTGAGTTGAATCACCATGCCTTCCCATCCTCCTTTTCGAAGTTTTTCCTCCCTTCATAACAAAAACTCACTCCCCACAAAGATTCCTACTCTAATCTTTCAAATTGTTGTTTTGAAGTTGACCTCCTTTAGATAGTTCTTAAAGGAGCATAATGTGTAATTCTTTACTGACTACCCTATTATTTCATTTTAGTAAGATGTTGTTGTTGTTGTGTGCCGTTGAGTTGCTTGCTACTCATAGCAACCCTATGTACAACAGCCCTAAACTCTGCTCTATCCTGTGCCAATCACACTGTCTCTGACACTCCCATCCTGATTACCCCAGTCACTGAATCAATCCACCTCATAGAGGGCCTTCCCCTCCTGTGCTGTCCCTCCACCCTACCAAGTATGATGTCCTTCTCCAAGGACTGGTCCCTCCTTACAACATGTCCAAAGTATGTTAGATGAAACTTCAGAATCCTTGCCTCCAAGGAGCCACCTGGTGTAACCCTTTCCAGGATGAAATCTGTTTGTTTTCCTAGCAACAAATAGATTTGTTTAATAAGATATTAAGGGATTTTTTTTAAGGTGGTTGTTTTAACACTGGGTCTCTCACTCTTCTACCTTGGAACTCTTAACCTCACCCCTCTTGTGCCCCTGCATTCACAGGGCGTAGGTTTGAGAAGCTCAGTGCCTTTCCACCGGTTTTCACAGAATAGGTCTCAGAGTGGAGCAGGCCGGCGCCTCATCTGACCCCAAGTGTGTTTCTCCTTGACTTCTTTTCTCTGATCCTTTCCCACTGTGAGCTCCAGGAAGTGATTGGCAGGAACGTCACCCTGAACTCTTTTGTTCCCAGCCATGCCCATGGCATGCCGGGTGGGGTTGGAGACTCTTGCGGGTCCTGTCATCAGAGTGTTTGTGGGGCGTTTCTTTTTGAACAGGGCCCCTTCCCTGAACTCCTGCAGTATCTCCACTCTTGTAAAGTCACATGGAAGTGGCTGAAGGAGCAGTGTCGTGTTTTCCGAAAGGCCCAGAGTGTGTAGATCCATAGCCTCTGTTCTTTCCCTTGTGTGGATAACTGCACGATAGGGCCTCTGCCTGAAAGATGGTTTATGTTCTAATGATTATCTCAGGGCAATAGTTTGAAGGGTTCATCCAGCCCCATTGCTCCAGAAAGTCAAGCATCCATGGGAATTTGAAACGTTGGTCTGACTCTTTCTAAGTAGACCATTTCGATAAGTGTCTTTCAGAATTGTTTACTGAATGGAGAAGGTACTAACCTGGTCACCCAGCATCTCCTAAACTGTTGTTATTGGTACTGACTGCCTTCAAGTCAAGCACGACTCATAGCGATCCTGTGAACAAAAGGCCTGGAGCTCCCCTACAACTATAGACATTTACCAAAATTTCCTAAACTACTAGCAGTGAAAACTTTGGTTGTTGCCGGGAGCTTTTTATGCGTGCACTGACTGTTCTCTGCACCCTCCCATCACAGGGGCCGCCTCTGTCACCCTGGAGGCCGCAGGTTTCCTGACCTACATGTGAGGGAACGAGGCAGGTGGGCAGGGGAAAGGCAGACCCAGCTCCAGGGAGCCCGTGCCTCTCAGCTTCGTGGGTGCCGCGTTGAACTCTTCTCAGGATCGCTGGGGAGCACAGTGTGTCCTCAACTATTCACTCAAAGGCTTGTGACTTGAACCTTCCTGGTGACACCAGAGAAGACAAGCCTCATTCTCTGCTTCCTCAAAGTATTAGAGCCACGCAGACCCATGGAGCAGTTAGTTCTCTTCTGCCACACTCGGAGGCGCTGTGTGTTGGCACTGACTCAACTCTAAATGCTCAATGAGCCCAAAGGACAGTTCCTGCGTTGGACTCGACTCACCCCAGTGGATCATGGCTTAGCCCTCATTGGTGCCACTTCTGAAGCCTGTTGACTCTGGCTGGAGGCGGCTCCGGTTGCTGTGGGTGTAATCAGTAACTTGATAGAGGAATACACGGGCAGAAGAGCAGCCCTTTGGGACTAAGTGGTCCACCCCTGCCTGGCCTGGATCCTCCACCTGCTGGATCACGTGCCCATTGCTGTTCTCACGCAGGTTTTCACTGGCTAGTTTTGTTGTTTTGTTTTGTTTTTTTTAATTTTTATTTTTTATTATTTTTGTGTGCGTGTACCGTCAAATCAGATCTGACTGGTACAGGAGGAGATTGTCCCTCCTTCCCCGGCAGAGTATCTGGTGGATTCGAACCGTGCGCCTCTGGGATTGTAGTTGCAGCTCCTTGCCACTAGGTCACCAGAGCTCCCCACTGGCTAGTTTTCTAAAGTAGTTTGCCAGGCCTTTCTTCCTCATCCATCTTGGTCTGGAAGCTCCAGAGAAACTTGTTCACCATCATAGCAGCACACCCACCTCCTCCCCTCACAGGCAAGTGATGTGCATTGACAGGGAATCGAACCCGGGTCTTCTGCATGCAGGACGAGAGACTTCTACCACTGAGCCACTGCTTACCCCCATTACCGTTCATATCTCTCAACGAACAGCAAGCTCTGTGAGGATAAAGAGAACATCTCGTGTTCCTTTAGCTCCCTGACACCTAGCTCAGCCCTCACGTCTAGGAAGCAAGCCGGAAGTAAGTGGACTGGATGAAGTCCAGGTGGGTGCCCGCGTGTCTCACAGCCTTCCTCCTCTGTGGGGAAGACCTTAGACCTTAGACACTGACTTCCTGTGCTCTCCCAGTGCCCAGAACATGCCAGCCTCTCCCGGTCATGGTCCGAGAGGACCCGTCCTGCGCGTCCCCATGGTACGAATTGGTGTCCCTTCAGCTGGCTGTCACCGAGACGTGTGGGACAGAATGGTGGCTGAGTGGAGATTGAGGCCAGAGCACCTGCTTCCAGTCCTGACTGGCTCAGGCTCAGCTGCCTCCCTGTGTAAACCAGGGATAGCCATACTTCCACCTCAGACAGTGCTTGCTCATACTAATCTTTGTTGGGGGATAACAATGATGTCCTCAGCCGACCCAGCCGTCAGAAAAAGTGCCCACAGAGCCCCTTCTCTACCATTTCCCCCCCTATTTGCACCTGTAAGCTGTGAGGACCCATTTGTCTTTGAATCCACACTTTTTTTCCCCTCCATTTTTAGTTTTTTTAAAATTAATTTTAATGAAAATTTACAGAGACTTAGGGTTTCTTATCATTCATTCTTGCACTTTTCTCCCTGCCCCCACCCCCAGCTCACTCTTCTCCTTCAAAAGTGAAAGGAAAACTCTTTGATTGTTATGTAATCAGTCCTCCCAAGTCTATTCCACTATGCAGCCTTAATTCTGGACTCCTGTCATGACAATAATACCTAATTATAGATCCCTTTTAAACAGTTCTCTCCCTCATCTGTTTCAATGCAGTATATATCATTCCACCCCTTCTTCTCTGTCTTCTCTCAATGCTGATGTCAGTCCCGTTTTACAATGGTGGCCCTATGCAACATTTGTCCTTTTGTGACTGAGATATTTCACTCAGCATAATGTCCTCCAGGCTCATCCATTTTGAATAGTATTTCATGAGTTCCTTGTCTTTCAATGTTGCATAGTATTCCGTTGTGTGAATATACCATAGCTTCTCTATCCATTCATTTGTTCATGGGCACTTGGGTTGTTTCCAGCTCTTTGCTATTGCTAACAAAGCCGCAATAAACATTGGGTGTGCATATATATATGCTTGGGTGGCAGTTATGGTTTCTTTAGGGTAAATTCCCAGTGGTGGAATTCCTGGGTCAAATGGTATTTCTGTTTGCAACTTTTTGAGAAAGCGCCATAGAGCGTTCCAGAGTGGTTGCACTGTTTTACACTCCCACCACCAGCGAATAAGGTTTCTAGTTTCTCCACAACCTTGCCAGCATTTGATGTTTGCTATTTTCTGTTAAATTTTCCTGTTCTTACTGGGGTGAGATGATCTCTCATAGTTGTTTTCACACTTTTTTTTTTTGAGAGTCAAAACCTCCTTCTAATTCCCTTCATAGAGTTTACATATTTAAGAAAGGTTTTTGGTGGGTTTTTTTCTTAAAATGAAGGTGATGGAGTTTGTGGCAAGGTTGGGGGAGGCTGCCTCTCCGTGGCATTCTGTTCGTGGGGTTCCCCATGGTGTGTGGGTGTCGGACAGTGATGTGGGCTGGCTTTGAGGACAGAAACACCTAGTTGCCGTTTGATTGTGTGACATGGGAAAGAAAGTTCCCTCACTTTCCTCCTTCCCGACACACGATCGTCTTTTATTTAATACCCACTGTGTTAGGCTAAATGAAATAATGCATGCAAAATGTTTAGCCTGGCATTTAAACATTCAATAAAAGGTAAGTGCTTTGTGATTTTGTATTACTATTTTTATTGGAGGTTAAATGGTATGACAAATCTCCCATTAGATCCCCCTATAGATTATCCAAGAACCGTAAGCTGAATTTCCCCCCAAAGATTGAGAGACAGGGTGTTAGAGCGGCGATAGCTCTAATTTTTTTTTTCCTTCTTTATCTGCTTTCCAAAGGTTTTAATTTCTCGTCCTCTGGGAGAGAAGATGTTGATGTGAGAACACTAGGAAATGGTAAGATTGGCACAATATCACCTGACTGGAATTAACTTTCAGATTGTCACCCTTGGCACAGCCCAGGCTCACCATAGGCTTAATCAAAATCAAAGTGAGACAGAGCCCAGGTCCTCTCCCCGTGAGAAGCATTGAGTAGTAAAGAGCTGCCTTTATAAGTTATAAAGTAACCCTCTGGCCTTAACGCATTGTTTCTGGATTCCCACCTGTAGGTTGTAAAGGACTCCTCGTGAATTCATTAACAAGGCGATACCTGATTTTCCCACCAAAGGCTGGATTATGAATTATTCCATCAAATAACATTTCAGTAGGGCCAGGACCATTTGCAAAAGGCCCATCTTCCCTTAAAAAGTGACTCTGAAGAACTGTCTTGTTTGTCCCACTATCTGGTTCCATAAGGTCCTGAAAGGAAAGGCCCAATAAGGAAAATATCAATTCACTAAAAAAAAAAAAGTAACCCTGCCCTCCTAGCCTTCATCTCTCTCATTTCCCATGTGCAGAACAACAAAAACACTGAGTGAACCTGGGCCTTTTGACCTGTAGAGTTTCTTGCTCTCCTGGGATCACAGCCTCTCTGTCTCATGCTACGTCAGGCTGGGAGGATGGGCCTCACCGTGACAGAAAGCAAGCTAATTAGTGTGTATTCAGATTTTACTCTGTAATTAGCACATGCTTGCCAGGGGACCTTTGGGAAGGCAGTAGTGATCACAGGTGTCTGTTCGTGGGTTCGACAGAACCTCCGTCCTCCAGAAAGCCCCTTGATTCTTTTCACACATCCTTCCCTCCCCCAGCTGTAGTCATGCCATGAGGCTTTCAGCCCGTTTTTCACACCTCCTCACCCTCGTGCATTAGATGTTAACTCCATCGACACATTTCTGTTTCATGACTGGCTGTGCGGTGCCAGGAAGGCCCTTTACCATCGAGCTGGTGAACCCTCACCGAGTACGTTTCACTGCACAAGAAATGAAGGAACTCCAGCAGGTAAGCCACTTCCACGGCGCGGAACTCACTCTCAGCACGTTTCTGCGACGCTGTCGCCAAGCCAGAGTTGCTGACTGGTTTTCCTCTTTTCTGCTACCACAGAAAATTAATAGCTCGTCTGACAAAATCCAAGTGCGGGACTTGCAGGTGGTCACCAGGTAAGGGTTGGCTCACTGGAGGGGATTTTACAAGGCCAGTGCTGTTTGCACATCATCTATGTGAAAAGGGACTTGTCTCTAGAATGTATGAAAGACTCTTAGAACTCAGTGTGAGGATCAAGTAACTCAATCAGAAACCGAGAAAGAATCTCCACTTCTTCAAAAAAGATAGACACGTAACCAGTCGACAAACACATGAAAAGACTACAATGAGACACACACACACACACACACACCCCCGCACATCTGCTAGGAGGGCTCTAGTGAAAAGGACAGATGGGAGCAAATGTTGGCAAGGATGTAGGGCAGTTAGAACTCTCACATGTGACTGGTGGCTTTGTTAAGAAAGGCCACTTGTAAAACACTTTGCCATGTTCTCCAAAGGTTAAGCACAGAGTTAACCTGACCCAGCAATCCATTTCTAGACAAAAATCCCAGAGAAATGAAAATCTCTGCCTGTAGCATTCAAAAAAGCCTGAGAGGAGAAACAAGTCAAATTCCTCGCAGATAAACCAAGTGCATATCCCTCCGGTGGATTGTCTTCCGTAATGAAAAGGAATACAGTATCGCTACTTGATACAACATGAATGTGGGAGAAGGACGGGCGATCTCCTCCCGTGTGCGATTTACTGCCTCTGACAACCTACTGGAGGGTCAGATACGGGTCGGTTCTAACCCTGCAGCTCTACAGTACTCAACAACAACAACACAACATTAATGGGCTCTGAAAATAGGAACTCAAAGAACCAAGACACTGAACACCAATTAGTGTATGATCTCATGTTATGTGAAAAGTCCAAGCTAATCTGCAGAGACAGAAAGTGAAGTAGTGTTTGTCTAGGGCTGGGAAGAAAGCAGAGTAGAGAGTGACTGCTAATGGCTACAGGTGGAGGTTTTATTTCCTTGGGAATGGTGAAAGAATTCTAAAATTACATTGTGGTCCTGGCTCTGTTACCCTATGAACATACTCAGAATTGTATGTCATGCTTGGGAGGGTGGAGGGACAGCGTAAGAGAGGAAGACCCTCGGTGAGATGGGATGATTCAGTGGCTGGGGTAATGGGGGTAGGTGTGTCAGAGTCAGTAAGGTTGGCACAGGATAGAGCAGGGTTCAGGGCTATTGTACATAGAGTCGCTGTGAATTGCAGGTGGCTCAATGGCACATAACAACAACATGGTCAAGGCGGGTGAATCTTATGTAAATTCTCTCATAGTAGAGCTTTTGGGGTTTTTTGTTTGTTTTAGAAGGGAAATTTGGGGCAAGACGTGTGTATTTTGTACATTCAGATAAACTTTGTTATTGTTTTTGTTTAGAGAGGCAATAGGACATATGAAGGAAGGTGAAGAAGAAAAGACCAAGACGTACAGTGCCTTAATATGGACGAATAAAGCAATCCAGAAGGAAGACATTGAATTCCTAAACGACATAAAGGTAGTGGAAAGCTTCTCTTTCTCGTTTTTCTACTGTTCACACGAGCGTCTACTGTATTCTCCTGTATTTCCAGCAAGTCAGCACAGGCGTGGGAGTGTGTGACGCCTGAATCCAAGTCCTGACTTTGCCATTTACGGGCTGAGTGACGGATGGAGCGGTTTATAGAACCCTTCTGGGGTCAGTGGGGCTGGAGAAGAGTCTGGCTGTGAAGACAGAGGCCTCGGAGCAAACCCTCCTCTGCGTGTGTTAGTCATGTGACTTTGGACAAGTTACTTCACCTCTGTGCTTTAGGTTCTCCATCTGTTAAATTAGTAGAATTAAGTGAGTTTAATCATATAGAGAGAATTTAGAACAGGGCCAGACATGCAGAAAAAACTGAGCAATGCTGTTATTCTACTTGGTCATCTGTGCATGTGGTGGTGTAGTTCTGTGCCATTTAGTCAGAACTGACCCACAGCTGACTTTGTAGCAGGTTTGGGTGGAGGTTACCCAACTGCCTCTCATGGAGCAGACGGTGGATTCGAACCATGCGCCTTTGAGTTGGCAGCACTGAGCTCCTTACCACCAAGGCTACCAAAGCGCCCTTCTGTAATTACAGGTATAGTAATACTTGTGGGAGCCAGAGCTTGCTGGGACCACCTTGTTTTTCCAGGTCTTCCAAGTTTTCCACCTTCGCCAGGGTGCACTCCTACTGCTTTTCTACCACTTGTGTTTGTGGAAAATATTTGCATTTTCCGTCCCTTTTGGGTTTCCACTTTCCACAACTTACCATTTTTGCAAACTTTTCTGTATAAAATAGGACTTACAGAATTGATGCTATGATTAAATGTATCAGTAACATGTTAAGCACCTGTTTGGCATGGACAAGGTTTCCCTTTATGTAAGCACACCATAACAGAGAGCCAGTACTTGCTTGTTACGTATTTCCTCTACCTCCTCCCTCTTCTTTCTGTAAAGACATTGTCCTTTCAAATACACAACAGGAGCCTAAATGACTACAAAGATGCATAGTTAACATTGCAGTGTTTAAGTGGATAATATTTTGTAGCGATTTAGACTTACTCAAGGGTTACTGTTCTATCTTATCTATAGATGGATTGATACGAGGCAGCTGCTAAAAATTATGTGATAGGTGAAGAATTATTGACATAGGAAAATGTTACTGATAAGAGAGAGCTAAGGGGGATGAGGGCAGGAAATATCCTATAAGAATAAGGGAGCACTGGTAGCCTAAACTTCAGATGGGTAAGGGGTTGCCCTGCCACCCCAAGGGCCAGTGGTTCAAACCCACCAGCTGCTCCTAGAGAAAAGGTAGTTAATCTCCTCCCGTGTGATTTACAACCTCTGAAAACCTGCTGGAGGGTCAACTATTAGCTGATTCTGACTCAGCACATAACAACAACATATAATAAACAGTGATATATTGTCATTTAAACACTCACATCACTTTGTCTATGTAGAAAACACTATAACAAAACATACCATGTTATGGTTTTGTCCCATAGATTCAGTAGATTCAGTGAAAAGATTGAAATTGTCAGTGATTTCATCTCACTTGAATCCACAGTCAACACCCCTGGCATCAGCAGTCAGGAGATCAGGAGATGTCACATGGGGCCAGTCCACTGTCAGGGACCTCTCCAGATTACTGAGGGGCAGTGATATCAGTTTGAAGACTGAGGTGTGCCTGACTCAGGCCATGGTCTTTTCCATCACTTGCTGAATCTGAAATGTTGGAGAGTGAGTAAGAATGACAAAAGAATTGATGCCTTTGAATTGTGGTGTTGGAAGAGACCACTGACGGCCGAAAGAATAGGTAGGTCTTGGAGAAAGTGCAGCCAGAATGCCCTGGGAGGCAAAGATGATAAAGCTTCATCTCACATATTCTGGGCATGTTGTCAGGAGAAGCTGTTCCTTGGAGAGAGACACCATGCTTTGTGTGGTGGAGGGTCAGCGAAAGAGAGGAAGACCCTCAATGAGATGGAGTGACACAGTGATCGCAGCTGTGAGTGGGTCCAAGTGTGTCAGAGCGGATGAGGACGGCCCAGGAGGGGACAGGGGTCAGATCTGTCGTTCATAGGGTCGCCACAAGTCATACTTGACTCAGTGGCACCTAACAGCAGCAAAGAGCATGAGAGTCAACTGCCCATCTTACTCCCAGGGGCCAGCTGTTGGATGTGAACTGTGTGCCGCTGGGTCTATGAATGTTTCTTAAGAAAAGGATAGAGAAGTAGACAAAGGATACGAGCAAGCAGCTGAAGAACAACTCCAAACGGCCAAGCATCACCCTATAAAGTAGACATCTCATTACTCCCAGCAGCCCAATGCACTGCTGGCAGCTTGGAGGGAGGAGTCAGGGTGGGTGCAGACATCATGCTTGGGGGTAACCATGGTATCCTCCCCTTGGGGACGATTTAACAAGGACTAGGAAATGAACACTCCGCTGCCCTTCGCTCCAGCACTCCCCCGACGGGTGGTCTGTCCCAGAGAAGCACCATCTCCAACGTCCAAGCACGTGTGCACAGGATGCTGGTGACTTTGTCCAAAGTGGCACACGGGGCACGGGGAGTCATTGTCCCTCAGTAGGGAAATGCCCAGATAAAGCTGCTTCAGGAGCCTGACAGTGTAATAGTGAGGTGCTGAGCTGTTAAGTGAAAGGGTTTTTGTTCATACCTGCCCAGTGATGCTTCAGGAGTAGGACCTGGCCATGTGCTCCTGTAATGACTGTCGCCTGGACAGTGCTGTGGGGCAGTGCCAGCCCGTCACCTGGGGTTATGTGAATTGAAATAGACTCGGTGGCATCAAACCAGCCAGCACTTGATCTCATTTGGACGTGTGTGTTGGTGTTGGTGTGTGTACTTGAACACTCTGGAACAACAGGTAGAGGTAGATCTTTATCCGTGACTTCTAGGAACATGTGGAACCTGTACACAGAGAGAGAAAACAACAATGAAGTCCGGAACAGTATTTATAGTGAATGACAATATAACTGCGAACTTCTTGGTAAACACAGTCGGAGCCCCTATGCATTTGTGCATGAGGGTGCATATGTTTGTATGAACAAGGAGAAAACTGCGACTGGATACATACAGAATGACAATCTTGAAGGCTGACATGAGCAATATATATATATAATTTTTCAGTGTGTTTAAATTTTTTCTTAAACTTTATATATCTTTGAATTATATATTCTATCTAGTACAGTAAGGGAGCTCTGGTAGCCTAGTGGTAGGGAATTTCACTGCCAACCCAAAGGCATGTGGTTCAAAACTACCAGCGGCTCCACAGGAGAAAGATGGTCAGTCTCCTCTCGTGTGGTTTACAGCCTCCAACAACCCACTGGAGGGTCAGCTGTGAGTTGATTCAACTCAGTGACACACAACAGTCACATACATTATAATAAGCCCAAGAGGCTCTTGTAATCAGAAAATAAAAGTCCAGGAAAAACAGTAAGTGGTGGATGAATTTGAGGTGTGAGCCGCATCATTCACGTGCGTTGAGTCACATTTATACATATGGACGGACCAGATCATCTCTTTTGATGTTCTGTGTTTCTATACAGAAGACCTTTTGACTTTTGGTCTTATTTTTTAGTGCCTTTAGAAAGGTACTTATTAACAGACACTTTTAAGATTTCACAATTTTTTAAATCTTCCTCTTTGTTCACATGTATGTAAGTCATTCCACATTCTGGGCAAAACAAACTCTCACTTTAAGCAAACACCACCACCACCACCAACAACAACAACAACAAAACACAGCTACAGTTTAGGGGGGGAAACCATAGAGCTGATTGAGAAATAACAGAAAAGCTGCTTTCTGCAGGACAGTCTAGCAGGGAAAGCCTATTTTATTGACCTGCCGCCCAAAATAGCAGCAAGACTGATGTAACAAGTTGATTTCTATTTATGTTTCTAAGTGTTAACCTTAAAACTGTTTTCAAATATTCCTGTTGACTTCGAAAATGGAGAAATTGAGCAGCTGCCCCATTCTGAGAAAAAGTCACTCCATACTTATCTCCTCTCTTTTTTTAAGAGCAATCTAATTCTAAGAACAAAACAAAACAACCCATGTATGTGGCCTGTTTGTGTTTCTGAAAATTGAGCAGAGTGAGGCCAGAGAGGTGGTTTCCTTTTGTCAGCTAGAAAGCAGCAGACCTAGAGAGACACGTGCATGAGGACCGAGTGCTGAGTGGGAAGCACGGATGGGTCCTGTACGCAGTGGGTTCAAGTCCTGGGAGCGACGTGAGGGAACAGAAGAGAGAAGCAGGGTCATTTTGTTGTTGTTGTTGTTGTTGGGCTCCATCACGTCTAGTGTGACTCACAGCGACCCCATGAACAAGAGACCTGAGCCCTGTCCTCTCCTGTGTCACCCTCATCATCTGACACACATTGCCGCAGTCGCTCTGCCAGTCCATCTGGTGGACGGACGGTCTTTGCTCTCTTTCACAGACCTTCCTCTTTTCCCAGCATGATGTCCTTTCCCTGCCTCCTCCTAACAACATGCCCTACAGATTAGAGACGCAAAGCTTCACCATCCTTGCCTCCAGTGAGCACTTTGCCGTCTTTTCTTCAGGACATGTTTGTTCTTTTGGAAATCCACGGAATATTCAGTACTGTTCTCCAGCACCACAACTCATTACGTAGTCTTTCATTTCAAGGTGCCTGTTTCTAAACTCGAAAACAGAGGCTGTATCTTTATGTTATTGTCATTTACCGTCAAGTCAGAACTGACCTAGAGTGGACCCTCCACTCAGTTTTCAAAGGCAGTAAATCACCAGGGAGGAGACTGGCCATCATTCTCTTGTGGAGCAGCTAGTGGATTCAAACTGTGTGCCTTCCGGTTGGCAGCCCAACTCCTTACCACTAGGCCACCAAAGCTCCCTATATCTTTTATGTTGTTGTGTGCTGTTGAGTTGGAACCTACCTATACCTGACCCTCCAGCAGGTCTTCAGAGACAGTAAATCACACAGGAGATTGCCTATCCTCCTCCTGCAGAGCAGCTGGTGGCCTCGAACCGTGTTCCTTCGGGATTGTGGTGCAGCTTTGAACCCCTAGACCACCAGGGTTGGCTGTATCTCTGTAGGTTCCTTAATATATATAATAATAGTTGAGCATTGTCCTTCCATGTTTCGGTCCTTTTGGTTAGAGAAGTGTCCAGATTTAGGGAGTTATCTCTTTACGACAAAGGGCTTAAAAAAAGAGTTTCTGAAATGCACAGAATGTGAAGAAGCCATTTGCTGACAACTCTGATAAAAGCAGTCACCCCTTTCAAGCGAAGTCTTCAACAGAATTTTTTCCTTCTTGGTGGAGAACTTGATAGAGGTGAGCAAAGGTAACCATTCTTTTCTTAGCAGTCATGTAATTAAGGAAGAAGTTGCCCCAGCAAGAAATTGCAGAGAATTCACAGTTCCTGTGAGCCTGCCATTTCTGAGTATGCTCAATATCTTGTTTTTTTGAAACTTGGCATTGACTGACTTTTCAAGGTCGTAGACTCAGTGATGTGTGTGTTGCCTTTTTAAAAAAAAAAATGTTATGACATAAAGCAAAATCCCTAATTTAAACAAACTGTGAGAAAGAGGAACATCAGAATTGTAGCATGCCAGAGACCCGTTTTTCTCAAGGAACTTGGTCTGTGTTGACAGACCCCGAGAGGGGCTCGTGTATAAGCACAGAGTTGTATTTATTATCTGGAAGCAGGGATGCAGCCAACCAGACACTGGGTGGGAGAAACGACTGGGCGGTTTGCTCTGGTCATAGATGACCCCCGAATTCCCTGTGGCGGTTCTGCTCGGTCCTGGAGGTTCCGTGAGTGCACGACGACTTGACAGCACACCCCACGACAACAAATCGTTTCATGTGCCCTAGAATGAACCCCGCGACAAAGTGTATGATTCTCTTTAAATCGCACAAATCGTCCACCCGCATGACATGTCCCAACCAGCCTGGAGGTCCACCTGCTCCTGGCTCTGCTGAGTTAGAAAAGAACATTGTCTTCGTTTGATCCTTGTTAAGGATGAGGAAGAACCCCAGATCTCTAATATTAGACACAAAGCGGGGGTCCAGAACCTCGGGTGCGGCCCAGTGGTTCCACCCGGTAGAGTTTCCAGAGCTGTTCACCTGCAGGGATGCTGACTACCTGCTGTTTGTCCCACGGAGAGCGGCTGGTGGGTTCGAACCATTGATGGTTAGGCTAGCAGAATGCTTTTGCCACTGCACCACCAGACGGCCCTAAAAGAGACCTTCTGGCTCATTTATGCTGTATTTTGGGGTGAGGCTCCTGGGGCCCGGGCAGGTTAGGAATATGAATTGTGCACCGTGGAGTCGGAACCGACCCATGGCTGACCCTCCCGGGTCACAGGGGAGGAGATCACCCATCATCCCGCGCCGAGCAGCTGGCCTCGAACCGTGTGCCTTGGGGACTGCAGCGCAGCTTCCTGCCACTAGGCCACGGGAGCTCCCTAAATACGGAGAGGGCTGTGGGAAGTGGCAGAGTTTGACCCCGGGGTGGACAGGTGACAGTGTTCGTTTCTGCGCCGACGGCAATGGATGGGGGGGTTCCACTGAAGTAGGGGTCCCACCAAAGTGGGGGGTCCGGAGCAGCATGTGCGAGGAGTGACGCCCCGGGGAGGCAGCACGGCTCTCACTCCACGGCTGCGCCCCGTTCTCCCCCCAGGACCTGAAGATCGACCAGAAGACGCCGCTGCGCGTGCTGCACCGGCGGCCCCTGGCCGTGCGGACGCGGCTGGTCCACACCATGGAGCCGCGCTACGTGGACGAGCACCACTTCCGCCTCCGCCTCAAGACGCAGGCCGGCACGTATCCTTCCGCGCATGCGCCGGGGTCCTTGCCTCCGTCCAGGGCCAGCCTGCGCTCGGACCGGGGCTCGAACCTGCGACCTGGAGATTACAGCGCAGCTTCTTGGCACTGGGCCACATTACAGCAAAGAATATTCTTATTATGCATGCCTTCGAAAAGAAAAACCTAAAAATCTCCAGAATATATATCATTATTGAGCCATACACACTTAATTAATAGTAACAGTACTTCTTTTGTTATTATACTTGACCACTATTGCTAGCATCATTTACAGAGACCACAAGGAGGGGTGACCATGTTAGAAATGGTTGAGATTCAGAGTTAAATATCCGCAGTTCAGGGTTAATTTGCTCATTGGCCTAAACTGTGTGGGGTTTTAGGGTAGGTTTTGAGTGTGTGTTTTGTTTTGGTTTTTTTTTCTTCTTGTGTGCCATTGGGTCGGATCTGACCAGCGCAGGAGGAGATTGCCCAACACCCAGCGGAGCATCTGGTGGATTTGAACCACACACCTTCAAATTGCAGTGCCGCTTCTTGCCACCAGACCACCCTTCTAAACTGTGTTTTTCTATCAAAACTGATACGTTGTTGTTGTTATGTGCCGTAAAGTCGCTTGCGACTCATAGCGAACCTATGTACAACAGCCCTGAACTCTGCTCTGTCCTGTGCCAATCGCACTGTCTCCGACACACCCATCCCGATTACCCCAGTCACTGAATCAATCCACCTCATAGAGGGCCTTCCCCTCCTGCTCTGTCCCTCCACCCTACCAAACATGATGCCCTTCTTCAAGGACCTGTCGCTCCTTGCAACATGTCCAGAGTATGTTAGACGGAGCCTCAGAATCCTTGCCTCCAAGGAGCCACCTGATTTAACCCTTTCTAGGATGAATCTGTCTGTTTTCCTAGCAGTCCATGGTCCATATCAAAACTGATATACTAGTTAAAATTTATCAGAGAGCTCCAGCAGGTTTCTTCTCAAAGGTGTTAAATGCTTTGCTTTATTGTTTCTTGGATTTATATTGTTTTGTGGTTAGTACTTTTCCTACAGCACAATATTATAACATCCCTGTTAATTGGTATAAAATGACTTTAAAGTTTCAGTTACCACAGAGCATTCTCACCGTGTTGCTCTGTGTAATAGTCTGTCTTGATCATACAGCAGGAGTAACCAGGTGACCTATGGATAGGGAGTTGTGCTACAAACTCAAAGACCACAGTTCAAATCCACCAGTGACTCAGCTGGAGAAAGATGGCCAATCTTTCTGGAAGATCATCCATGAGTTGGTTCTGTCTTCGGTATGAGGTTTTTTGGTGTTTTTTTAATTTTTATTATTTTTGTGTGTGTGTACCGTCAAATCAGATCTGACTGGTACAGGAGGAGATTGCACCTCCTCCGGCAGAGCATCTGGTGGATTCGAACTGTGTACCTCTGGGATTGCAGTGCACCTTCTTGCCACTAGGCCACCAGAGCTCCCCTTCGGTGTGAGTTTTGAGACCCAGCAAGCACTTAGTTTAAACCAGTTATAGGTCATTTACTCATGAATTCTCCTAAATTTTTTCCTCAAATTTAGATCAAGCAGGGGTTGATTTTTATCCCATTGGCCATAACTTTCTGTCGTTGTTATTTGAAGAACCATCATCTATTGTGGATGGAGTTTTGAAGTAACAGATTTCTTTTGAAATCTTTTTACTTGACCTTGTGTGTTATTGTTGGGTGCCAGGGAGAAATGCAGAAGCCTTTTGGAGAAGCTAGTATCTTTTCATTCCCACTAAAACATTTTTGAGTCAGCATGTACACAGATTACCAACAAACCTTTAGATACCAGATGTTGATACTCAGAAATATACAGATTTTTCACACATTCCATTTATTTTGTGTCCACCCAGGATATTTATGTTACTCACTGCACTCAGATCACCCTGGTGACTTTAGTCTTGCTCATCTGACAATGAGTAAGAACCACTCTGGACTTCTCACTGGTTATTCTGGGACATAGGGGCTCCATCTCCTCTTATCACTGCTGCTTAGAAGAAGCATTCTCTAAACAAAGTGTGAGAATAATTATTGAGAAAGTAGGAGTTTAGCAAGAAGGCAGTAGATAACTGTCCTACCCTTTGGCCAAACTATTTGGATCATAAAAATGAGTATATTTTTCAGAAGTTGAGGAACACATTAGAGCAGTATATTTTGTTTGTGTATTATTCTTTCATAATGGTATTTATAATATGGAGACCAGCCACTGTATATTTTTCTGATAAATATTGTCAAGGCTTTAATAGGGTCTTATGGAAAGAATGTTACTATCCTCTTATTAAAAATGAATTCCAGAATTAGTAAATTTGGCATTAATATTTAAAGACCTGCGTGAGGAACAGAAAGTTGGCCCTCAAAAAGAAAAGAATGAATTAGACCAATCATGTTGATAAACAACAGCATCTTGGGCCCTTCGCGAGTCCTTCTGAAATCCCTTCCTCAAGGCTGATTGTTATTCTAACTGTCCGCCCGTCCAACTCTGCTTGAGCCACGAGGTCACGTTGTCAGGAAGGCACCACTGAGGCTGTTCTGTGTAAATCTGCTGAAATCTGACAGATATCAGCTGCCATTGTTGAAAAAATGGCAGGACCAGAAAAGTGACAAAATAAAACTTGTCACAAACAACCAAAAAATTGTTTTCTTTTCCTTAGGGTTAAATTACAGCTAATATTTAAGAGTCATACTCATCCCCATCCCTTGGCTTTTGAAATGGACTGCAGAGGAGAAATGAGTGGCTCCTGGTGGTGTAAACACAGGCTCCGCCGGGTCTTGCTGTCGCTGTCACATTGAGAGAGTATCATTGGCTGTGGCTTATTTCCCAAGACACGCCCCTGAAATGACAGTGCAGAAATGACCTTTCCTTTGTAACATTTCTGCTTCTGCTTGGCCTGTCCCCTTAACCTGCCAGGTCTCACCAAACAGGTGGTACTGTGTGGATATTTTCAACTTTTTTTTTCTTTAATGAAAAGCCAGCTACATTAAAGAGTTTGTCCACGGGGACTTTGGGAGAACCAAGCCGAACATCGGCTCACTCATGAACTTGACCGCGGACATCCTGGAGCTGGATGTGGAGGTAAATGGTTTCGTTGTGGAGTGCATGCTGGGATGCAAACATGAGCCAGTCACAAAACCATGCTGGTAGCTCTGGAATTTGTCTGTCTTTAAAAACAAGCCGTCCTGTTTGATCCTTGTGAAGGCCTGCCTACTAACTGTGCTTTGTATATGATGTCAGATATAAACCCTTAAACCAAGTAAAGAAAGAAATTCTCAGTGCCCTTTATGGTCATTCACGTCACCATCTTTAGAGTCATTTGGATTCTAGGGCTTAATTCTCTCCATGTATTTTTACTCTTCTTCTTGTGTACTATTGGATATGACTGATACGGGAGGAAATTGACTCTCCGTCTCCAGCAGAGCGTCTGGTGGATTTGAACCACCCACCTTCAGGATTGGAGCACAGCTTCTTGATACTAGGCCACCAGAGCTCCCTTCTCCATATACATTTATTTAAAAATAAAATTAAGGAAGTTTACACAGAAATGTATGTTTAGAACAAAGGATGAAATTAGACGAGGCTGTTAACAAAACCAGTTTGATAAAGGGTCCCTATCTATATGCTGCAGGGAGCCCTGCTGGCTTAGGGATAAGTAATTGCATGCCAACACAAAGGTGCACAGTTCGAATCTACCAGCTGCGGCACAGAAGAAAGATGGGCAGTCTCTTCTCGTGTGATTTACTGCGTGTTTAAACCGGCTGGAGGGTCAGCCATGGGTCAGATTTCAGCTCTGTGGTTCACAACAGCAGCCAGTCCTACAATCCAAGCGGCCAGCTGCTGTAGTCAGAATTCAAACATTGTTAAATTCTGGGGTAATCAGAGCAGTGGGCAGAATGATGCTTAGTCAATTTTCCACAGATACTTTCCCTTATTTGAACACAGGTAGATGGTAAGTCACAGTTGTGCTTCTTGAATATCTGATTTAGGACAGAGTAGTCTCTTGCCCGAAAACTCTTCAGAGAGGCGGGCCTTTGACCCTTGGGAATCACATCAGAGCTCTGAAAAGAAATGGGAGTAGAGCGGCCCAGTGCAAAAGCAGATGATCACTGGATCAGTGTTACATGGGTGTTACGGTTCCCAAAAGGAAGCGATTCATCGAGTTCCTGTGGTGGAACCCAGGGTAACACCTTCAAGGCTGGAGGGAGCCTCCGGAGTGAAACCCGCCTTGAGGAAGGCAGCGTGCCGTTCACAAAATCCCAGTCACATTCCTCTTTCTCTAACCTTAATTCTTCAAACCATTTAGGAGTCTCCTAGCTTGATAGCACCCCTGTGTCTCAACCCAGGGAGCCCCAGAAACTCACCTGGGGAGTTTTTAACAAACTGCATTTGCCTACCTTCCCTTACACACAGTATATAGATGTAAGATGATATAATATTGTTTACTTTTCAGGCCCTGAGAAACCACCCTTAACTTATATGTGGGTGCATGGTATGTAGCTATACTCTGAAACAGAACCAAAATAAATGGGTTTTGGAATCTCTCTCTCTCTCTCTTTCTTTCTCTCTCTCTCTCTCTCTCTCACACACACACACACACACACACACACTATTGAGCTTCTCTAATAATGAACTCTTCTGAATCTAGTATATGAAGTAACTTAGATGAATAGATCTCTTTTTAGTCTGTCATTTCTCCTTTAAACTTGAAGTATAAACGACACAGGTAACAGTGGCATTTAAAACCAAAACAGAAATGAATTCTAAAGTCAACCTGGTAGGTTAAGACTAGGTCATCTTTGATATTTCAGGTACCTAGAATGTGCTTGTCAATATGGAGACCAAATCGTTTGCTTTTGTAGAATTTCATGATGACTTGAAAGAGAAGATTTTGTTCCCCAAAAGTGAAACTGGGGTAGAGATAGAAAAAAAAATTGCTAAAGCGGAACGCAAAGATCATGAATCTTTTTATAATTGATGACGATGTTTGAGAGGCTTTGTTGAGAGCAAGACCGAGGACGTGAAGTGAAAGGAGTAAGAGTTGCTGTCTGAGATGTCTTTCTGAGGCCAAATTGATGCTACTGCCTGAGTTTTTGTGCCACTCTACCCTTAAATAAGATTTTAGAGATTTTATTTACTCTTGTTTTAGAAGCCAAAAGGTGTAATTAGTAACCAGCCAAGTAACCAAAATACTGTTTCCCAGTCAATTGGAGGACCAACTTCCAGCCTAGGATTTCCTTGACTGCCCTTTGTTGTTGCTGTATTGTTGTTGTGTACCATGGAGTCAGAACCGACCCATAGCCGACCCTCTGGCTGGTTTTCAGAGCCAGTTAATCACAGGGGAGGAGACTGCTCAGCCTTCTTCTACCGGAGGTTCTGGTGGGTTCAAACCGCGTGCCATCGGGATTGGAGCACTGCTAAATGTGGTATTTGAAGGCTCTTTTCCTTCAATGTGATTTCTCCTAAAGTAAATGTGCATTCTACTAAAGCGTTAATACATTTACGATTGAATTCCCCAACAAGTGCCCGTTTGAGTAGCACAGCCTTGTTGACTGACCTGTTTTCTTCCTTCTCAGTCTGTCGATGTGGACTGGCCCCCTGCGCTGGATGACTGAGTGTCACATTTGAAGACCGGTGGACTCCGGGCCTGACAGGGTGATGCATCCAGCCCACACTGTAAAACGGCTGTTTACCCACCACAGCGGTGTCTCGAAAACCATTTGGATCATGTTGATCTATGTTCTTTGGGTTTTTTAAGAAAAATTTGCTGTTAACATCTCAGGATCTATGTAAGTGTGTACACTGCTATTCGGTGCTGTCACGTAGACCTCGACTCACGGGGAGCCCTGTGAACCCCAGATGGACACCTTGCCCTGTCCTGGGCCCTCCTCACAATTTCCACCACACTCGAGCCTGTTGTTGGAGACACTGTCACCCCATCTCGTTGAGGCGCCTCCTCTCTCTCAGTGACCCTCTGATTTCCCCCCCACCCCCATGATGTCTTTTCCCAAAGACTGTCACCGTCTGACCACATGCCCGGGAAGTATGTGAGATGAAGCCTCACCACCCCTGCCTCCATGGACCACCCTGGCTGGACTTCTCTCGAGACGGATCGTTCTTTTGACAGACCCTGGTAAAGCCAGTACTCATCAAGAATGCCTCAACTCACGGGCACGAGGCTTCTCCGGTCTTCCTTAGTCGTTGTCTGACTGCCACGTGCCTGGGCAGAGAATGAATACATCATGTCTTGGATCGTTTTTAAGTTGGACCCACCGCTGAGATACCGCATCTGGGATTTCATTTTACTTTTTATTTTATTTTATTTTATTTTATTATGTTTGTGTGCGTGTACCGTCAAATCAGATCTGACTGGTACAGGAGGAGATTGTCCCTCCTTTTTCCAGCAGAATATCTGCTGAATTCGAACCGTGCGCCTCTGGGATTGTAGTTGCAGCTCCTTGCCACTAGGCCACCAGAGCTCCCCTCATTTTACTTTTTAACACCTCTGGTAGCAGCAGTCAAGAAATCAAAAGACACGCTGCGTGGGGCAAATGTGCCAACTCGGACTTCTTTATAAAGTGCTCACACAGGGATGGCAGCCGAAAGCTGGCTCCACGGCACGGCAATATGTGTATGTGCTTTGTGTTCAGTTTCTCTAAGGATGTCTTAAGATTATTCGTGCTTCCCCTCCAGCCCCAAAAAAGCAAACTATGAAATGAAAACATTCTTTAATATATATATATATATATATTTTCCCCCCCTCTTTTAAAGAGATGTAAAACCAGATATATTCTCAGTTAATCTGAGAAAGATTTCCCTCCATCAACAGACATCCAAAACCCTGTTGTTCTGTATGCCAGCCCACAGCAAGCGTGCAGGACACAGCAGAACTGCCACGGACAGTTTCCAAGGCTGTATCCTTTACACAGCAGGCCACTTGCCTCGTCAGTCTCCCTCAGCGCAGCTGGTGGGTTTGAACAACCAACCTTACGGTTAGTAGATGAGTACTCTCTCACCAGGGCTCCTTTATTAGATACACACAGCCTTTAAATGAATTGTACTGAAATTTTTAAATTACCTGAATAAAATTTCTATCTATGCAGATACACAGACTTAGGCAGCATAGTCACCTATAACATCATGCGATAATAAATCCAAATCTGAGATCACTAACATTTTCCCACGTAGGCCTCAAACTATTACCAAGGTTGGAGTGGTCACAAATGTTAATCACTTTCAGTTAGGGATTGGACAAGCCAAAACTGTCAATATCTTTCCTGTGGAGGGAAAAAAGCGCTAGGCATTGAGGCCTGTGATGGTAGGTGAGCTGCATGTCTTGGAAAGAAGGAGCCTCAAGTGCCTATAACTACATAATAGGGCTTCGACTCCAACGATCAGATTGTGAGCATTTTACATTGCTCAAGAAAGGAAAATGGGCATTATTTCAGAGTGCTGTTATCCCTTTTCAACCATGGTGAGCTTTGGTGGCCTAGGGGCAAGAAGCTGGGCTGCAAGCCCAAAGGCATGCAGTTCAAGGCCACCAGGTGCTCCGCGGGAGAAGGATGGGCAGTCTCCTCCCGTGCAATTAACTGCCTTTGAAAACCTGCTGGAGGGTCAGTTAGGGGTCAGTTCCAAACTCTGTGTTACACAGCAACAACAACGTAGGTGAATATCATTAGCTCTGTTTTACAAATAAAAGAAACCAAAGATTAGAGGTCAGGTGACTTGTCTAAAGTGGTTCCTCCTGAATGCTGGACCTTAACAGCAATGTCCCGGTCTCTGCATTTCTTTCTAATAATCCCTAGATTAATCTGTGTCGAGGATGTGATGTACCTTGAGGATACCACTTTGACGCATGAAACTGCCAGTTTTACTTGAATGCTGATATTTAGATACCAAATCAAAGGGACAAGTATATTATTGTAATCTCATGTACGAAATTAAACAAACATCACTTAAGACTGTGAAAATAATAATTTAAAAAAACCCCAAACACATTAAATGGAAACCTGAAGAGAAATTGGCAGGTCATTAAAAGTTTCAAAAGGAATACTATTTAAGTATTCTTTTCATTACCCTGACTTGAGTATTTCAGCTTAGTTCAGGACACATGTGTCCTGAATGAACTAAATTACTGGTTGCCAACTCAGTGTTATAAAACATAGGAAAAGAGAATATCCATGTTCAAAGTCAAGAAAATGTTTAAGAGTGTCAATTAAATTGCCATAAAGAAGATGGCTTACCACTTCAAAACAGTATGTTTCATGTATGAATAATGAATATTTAGCATCAGAAAATGAGAAAGGGGTAACAGAAATAAACTTGATTAAAAGCTAAGAATTTTGGTGTGAATGGTTCTCAATTTCTGGGGAGAATTAAGATTTAAGTAATTTGGAAGAGTCTGTGCATTTCTTTTGGGCTGAGCTTTGAAGCCAGCAGACCTCTCACACGAAAGAATGAGAACGTGAGTGAACTGAAGTTAGAAGACTCGATTCCTCCAATTGGTCAATTCATGCAAAAGTGCAAGTAGCAAAAAACATTAGCTGTAAATACTGTACTTATTCCAAATGTGCACATAGTTATGAGTCCCCAGTTGCTAAAAATTAATTTTTTTTATGCAAAACTGGGAACTTCTAAGTTATGACAGAACTACATTTTCCCTTTTACAAACTAGATTGGTTTGAGTTTTAGGTGTCCTTCGTAGCTTTGTTTAAATGACAGTCTTTCAGTGACATTTTGAGAATGGGTCATTTGTACTTGTTAGTACTTTTTTAAATCCCAGACATAGTTTCTCATTTATCTTAGGAAAAACATCAGCTGTGAAAATCTGAAAAGTCAAGACAAAAAATAAATTGGTAAAATGGCAATTTCCCAGATTGACAGAATTGGTTCTGTTTGCAAGTTTCCTGAAGTAAATTTAGAGGTTAAGTTTCTATTTCCTAAAAGTCAAGTCTCTACTTGGGCAGCTAGTTTGTTTTTGAGTTTAATACTTGGGGTTTTTTTCCCCCAAGGCTAAAGATGAGAATTGTTATCTAATTCTTCTGAGTTGATTTTTTTAAAAAATGGTACTCTTTATTATGCAATAAATACTTTTATGATGCTGTCTTCTCTTTTTATTTATACCTCATCTTGAAATAATTTCACACTTACGGGAAAGTTGTCAGAAAAGCATGACACTTTCTCCCTGAACCATTGCACTGTGATAATGACAAACAAGGACATTCATTTAATCACAGTATTGCTGCTGTTGTCACATGGAAATGACTCAGAACTGACTCAGCTGCCCCTCCAGGGGTTTTTTAGACAGTACATTGCACGGGAGGAGACTGCCCATCTTTGTCCTTTGGAGCCGTTGGATTTGAACTGCATGCCTTTGTGTTGGCAGACCTCCATTGGTGATGGTAGTGCAGTGGTGGTTAACTACCTACCATACAACCATCACAAGAAGTTGTTAACACTGATGGTTGTGGTGTCGTTGGGTGCCGTCGAGTCAAGTGCAACTCATAGTGACTCTGTGAACAAAATTTCTGAACCCAGTCCTGTCCTGCGCCATCCTCACACTTCCTGACACACAAGAGCCCATTGCAACAGTCACTGTGTCAGTCCGCCTGGTTGAGGGTCTTCCTCTCTTTCGCTGACCCTCCACCCTTCCCAGCATCATGTCCCTAATGAATAGCACGTCTTAGCAATATGCCCCAAAAGGCTCAACATTCTTGCCTCCAAACAGCACTCTGGCTGCACCCTCTCCAAGACATCTGTTTGTTCTCTTGGCCGTCCATGGGATGGTCAGTGCTCTTCTCCAACACCACAGCTCAAAGGTGTCAATCCTTTTTCTGTCATCTTTATTCACTGTCCAGGTATTGATGCATAGCTAGTAATCAGAAAGACTATGGCCTGAATCAGATGCACCTTAGTCCTCAAATTGATGGTCTTACTGTCCTCTAAGAAGCCCATTGAAGTTTTGACAGGTGTCCCAACAGTGTCCTTCACCGCCACTGAATTCATTCCAGGGACCACACTACATTTGATTGTCTCTACCAGGTCCTCTTCACTTGACTCTTTCAATGTTTCGACATTTTTTTAAGATTTCAAGTCAGTTGTTTTCTTTTTAATTCCTTCAATCTGAATTAGTCTGACATTTCCACATTATTAGCTTGAAGTTGTACCTTTTTGGTAAGAAAGACACCAGAGACCTTAATGTTCTTACTGCATCCTGTCGAATGTCTCATCATTTGTCCAGTTCTTAGTGATTAAGCTTTGATTAGTTAATTAAGGTTACACCTGGCAAGACCTTTTACACTTTTGCCTTAACTTTTACTCAACTGTGTTAATCACCCATTCATTTTCCCCTAATTCAGTTCTAACAATGATTGCCAAATAGTGGTTTTTCTAATTCGTCGTCCTGCATTTATTGGTTAGAATACACTTGAAAGGTAGAGTTTTCTCTTCGTGGCCATTTATTATGATGTCACTGTGCACTTGTAACTTTATTTTTTCCAAAAACCTTAATGCTCCTCAGATGATGTAATGTTCAAAGAACTCTAGATCTAGCCAGAGGGAACTCCCCTCCCTGGCACCTGCCCCCTTGACCCCAGGCCCTCATTCTTGGAGGATA